CCAGCCCCCTCACCTTGGGCCGGAGGACTACTTTCTCCGGCCAGCTTTGCCCTTAAATAGGGATATCCTCGCCATCGGGCATGAACCCAGCCCCCTCACCTTGGGCCGGAGGACTACTTTCTCCGGCCAGCTTTGCCCTTAAATAGGAGAGGTCCTCCGACATTCAGCATTGGCAGAGCATTCTCCGGGCATTCCCGAGGCATTCATGGACCTTCCACTCCTCAGCAGTGCAACTCTCGCCTGCTATTTCTTCTACTCTCTATTTAGAGAAGATTCTATTCTATTCTATTTAGAGAAGATAAATTCTGCGAATTTATCTTCTCTAAATGAGAAGGTAGAGAAACTCTGTCACCTTGAACCCTTTGGCCCAGAAGGGCCAGAGTGATTCCATATCTCAAGGCGAGGAAGACGATTTATATTTTTTTCACTCCACTTAAACCTTCACAGCCCTTTATTCCAGATTCATCTCCTGATAAAGCGGCGAAAATAGAAGAGAACCCTCAGAGAACTGAAGCAGCCAGAAGTGAAGTACAACCTGTCGAGCAGACTCCTGCAATTAAGGATAGGCCACAACGCGTAAGAAAGCGCCCAGATTTCTATGGAAATCCAATTGCGTATACGGCCATTAATAAATCTCGGGGACAGGACTGCAAGTTGCTTGCTAGTATTTGGGAAAAGTTATCTCAATTGAAAGATAAACAACATTCCTTTCAAGCATAGTTGAATGCCTTCGGCCCCATTCTTTTGCAGCTGATTGATTGTCTCCGACAAACTGTCATTACTTCTCAGGAAAATAGGGATGCAGGTCTCACTTCTTCCAATATAGCATCTAATGCAGATTTTCAGGCTTGCAGTAATTTGAGCCACATACGTGACATGCACTTTCGCATTCTTTCTCTTGAGAAGTCACTATCCCAGATTATCCCTGATAGAACTGAAGCTTAAAGAAGTTCTTACTTCAGCTTTTTTTTTTCTCTCTCTCTTCCCTTTTCGAATCGTCTTGATTTGGATTTCATGAGCTTGATTCGAGTTCCTTTTTTCTAAGTATTGAAAACTGCATTTTCTAAGTATTGTTATGCATGCAGGAAGAATTTGTATTCTCTTCCTCATTTATTTGTTTTGTATTCTCATTTCCCCTTTTTTTTGCATTTTGCGATGGTTTTTCAATTTTTATGGGGATTGTGCCCGAAGAACTAAACACCAACTTGAATTGAGTTTTTTTTTTCTCAATCAGTTCTGATTTTTTTTTTCTCTTTCTTTCTCTTTTCACTGGATGTTTTGTTCCTTTGTCCTTTCCATATTTTTGTTTTTCTACATTTGCATATTTTATTTTACGCAGTTATTTCTGGAATTACGAATTCTGTTCACAGGGGAGGGTAGTGTCATGTACTTGAACGGGTTTTTTTTTATCCATTTGCAACCCCTTTCACTCCTTTTTTATCCTCGCCATTGGGCATGAACCCAGCCCCCTCACCTTGGGCTGGGGGACTACTTTCTCCGGCCAGCTTTGCCCTTAAATAGGAGAGGTCCTCTGACATTCAGGATGGGCAGAGCATTCTCCGGGCATTCCCGAGGCATTCATGGACCTTCTACTCCTTGGCAGTGCAACTCTCGCCTGCCTTTTCTTCCACTCCTTGGCAGTGCAACTCTCTCCTGCCATTTCTTCTACTCCTCGGCAGTGATTTCGAGAGTCTCTCATCACTTCTCACGAGCCGCAGAACCCCATTTTACTACCACTTCATCCACATCCTGGTGACCTCCGTTCGGAGGATATTCTGTTCCTGAAATACTAAACCTTGAGCAACTGGTAACAAGTGTATTTCCTTTCCCTACCATGCAAATACTGTTCACGTGAGGCTTGACGCTGAACCTACGCCGACGTAAGCCTGCTACTATAGCGGCAAACGAATCACGCTACCCATCTCGCAACAGCACCACAAAAGCTTACCACGTGACACACGTACCAAGATTCGGAAACATTTCAGCATCGTAAAAGGAACCGCTTCTAGGCGTTCTGCAATGTGCCTTCGAGAGATCCCAAAGGGAAACATTTTTTAGAGCGTAGACCGCACACGATCGTCACCCACTTCCTCATCATGCAACAGGTCCAAAAGTCATCCATGACTTGAAGTCAATGCAACAGGGCCCTAGAAGTCCCTGTGGGACAGAATGCTGTTCCCCCTAGAAGCGATGCAGGATGCCAGGGGATTCATCCTCATCAGCTCATACCCAGTTCCACACTAACCCACACATTGTCCTTAAAATTAATTCATTTGTATCATATTATTTTACCCATACGGGAGGCTTTATCTTTTCTGAAGGAAATAATGTAAACTTCACAAAACCAAGAATTCTTCATCTGAAGAATCTTGCAACCCTTTTTCAGGATCATGTGTCCTGACAGCCAGTGACAATTTCCAGTACTTACGAGGTTGAAGACGCCGATATAACACATCCATACCATATACACCATGTCAGTTACGCCTTCGATCACGACCCCACTCAGTAAAAAAAAAATATATATATATATATATATATATATCAGCCAATGAGGAATCCCGTCTCGTTGAAAGACAGAACGCGGGGTAAGGGGAATAAGGAAAAGAGGGATAAAGGGAGAGACAGTGGCTGGAATGACGGAGTGTCATGTGACTGGGTGAGCCGGGGCGAATGCGTGGGAGATTTTTGGGACTTCCTTCATTTTTTCATCCTTGGAGTTGATTCAAGTAGTCTTCTGGTTCCTCGAGGTGGTTTTTCTGTTTCATCGCTGGCCTTTCCCTCAGTTCTTTGTGTTGTGTTTGTGTTTCTCGTCGCTTCTTTATTGGTTTTGTGTTTACGGCCCTGGTATCGGTAAAAGGGATCAGAGGAAACATTAATTCATTTTTGTTTCGAGTTTGCTTTCCTGAATCTGCTTCCCCGGACCCGAGATCCACAAATGCCCGTCAGTTACCAAAACGGGGAATATTCCCATATTGATACGTGACAGAAAGAACGGGGAAATCATTGCATTTCCATATGCACGGAATGCGTCACTAAATGCTCCCAACAGTAGCAATGCGTAACAAGCTAATCACCGACAGCCTTATAAAGAGGCAGACAGGCTAGGACAGAACCAAAAGTGGTCGTTTCGGCGCACATTAAGTGACCCTGACTTAATATGAAAAAGGTATTTGCCAAAATTTTTTTCCTAATGAGTCAGGGTCAGGTTGTAGTCAGAGCTCTTTTAAAAAATCGGAAATGATTTTCCAATCTTTTTGGGAAAGCTGAGTGAGAGAAACAAATCTGGAAAGCATGGAAAAGTATTAATAGTCGAGCTGATGGATTTCAGCCATGAAATAGAGGAAATCACATGGTAACAGAATGGTTCTGATGACCGCCTAAAGTATCCAAAAATATTCCACGCACGTTTGTAAAGTTCTCTGCTGATTTCTTTCCAAGGTTCTCCGGGAGAATTCCTATAATCGCTCTCTCTTATGTTACTAAATAGCTCTTTAAGAATAAGGCAAGCCTGAATTTAAAATTTGAGTCTAGCAGACGACACCATCCACTCCTTCCACTCCTCCCCCCCCCTCTTTCTCGATCCCGCACGAACTCGTTCGAGAGAAGTTGCAGTTAGTCAGGTCTTAACATAGCGCAGTTCTCCCATCTCCCCCTTATTATAATGCTCGATTATGTCATGATTCGGTGCTCCTTCTATGATCAACCTTTTAACTTTTGCACTCACAAAACTTTTGGCGTGCCGATGTGACGCATTTATTCTCGTATGGTGATTTTGACACACATTGTCACATTTTATGAAGGCAAAAATGTGTTTTTGACACGTTTTGGACTTCTATAGATAGAAGAACCTCAAGGAGGCCTAATGGTCTCCTTCGTGTCAGAAGTGTGTCGAAATTCCGGGGAAATGGTGGGGTGCCGATTTGTCAGGAAGGGGAGGAGGACTCTAACCCCGGGGTGAAAACGAGGGGAGGCCAAGTACATTCCATGCTCGGAAGATGGCAGTGACCTCGCTCGGCAGAACGACCCGGGCCTTGGGAACGGAATCGGGGTATTCCCAGAAACGACAGAACCCACATTTCCAGGCTTTACCTAAATCGAGCTTAGCTACATTAAAACCGGGCAATATTCGCGGCGGAGCATGCTTCTCTTCTGCGCGAAGCAGCCTGAAATCCCGCAGACCCTGTCGGAAATAGAGGACAGTGGGAGCCAAGGAGTCCTCCCAGTAGCAGAGCACTTCACTTGTTCACTTTTCCCATGTTCTTAGTTAGACGGCAGTTCCCCGTGTGAACATCCTTCTGAAACCGAACACGAGTTCAGGTAACAGTTCCTTCTCCTTTGTCAACTGGAAGGAGGAAGAGCTCAAGGTCCCTTTCTCCCTTTTTGAATGTCAAATTTTGAAAAAAAAAGTTGCATCTCCGGTAATTTATTCAAATCCATATACTACTGAGAGAATGCAGTTCACACGGGAGACCTTCTGACACATATCGTAAATGTCAGAAATTCAGCACACCTAAAGACACATCCAAAATGTGTCACAGCAGGGAAAACCCACCGTTATTTTTTTTATAAAAAAAAATTATGTGTGTATATACTAGATGACACGCATTATTCGTGATACTTCCGTCTCCATACCATCCCAACCCATTCATATGAGCATTCTGCTGACATTTTGAACATCCATACTTTGAATCAATAATATTGGGTCCGTCACTACTTTCTCCCCCCCCCCCCGAAAATACCATTATGAAGGAAGCACCAATTGCCTGGAAGCAAATTTTTTCAGTGAGTTCCGCCCAATAGGATTCAAGGGAAACATCGTTCGAATTTAAAAAGCCGGGTATCAGGCGTGGATGGGATGATCTTCTGGATGATCTTGATCTCTATAAGAGATGCGGATCGACCAGTTGCTCGTTGGGACTGCGATTTCCGGTCAGGTACAGGGGAGTAATTCATGTGAGACCTCGAGTTCTGAAACGTGGAAATCTGTACGGGCAACGGGCATGCTAGGGCGGGCCCGAAAGGTTCGACGGCTCGGGCGCGTCAAGTCCAAGATCGAGTTCCAGGTTGGGCATGGGGCAGATTCCAATCGGGTCGGAGAAACGGAAGCATGGAGGCCTCCGGGGGACGAACCGACACGCGAATAAACAAACCGGGTATGCCATCATAAGATTATATGCTGGGTATATGCCGGGTATGCGTAAACATAGAGGCTTCCTAGAAGGATAAACTTTCACTAGCGGCATGCGGCTGCTACGCTGGCCGTCTAATAGGTGCAAATTTAAACAGTCAATTATGAGCATAACGTCTCCTTCACAATCCTCTGTTCACCTCATTTCCCATACAGAATTGAACCGCTTCATTACATGTATATACTTACAGCTTACAGTGCACAGGGAGATTCTGTTCCTAAACACCATCATCACGATATTCCAGCTGATTGCCACAATCGTTCATTGTGAACGGTTTAGCATGTTTTCATGAGTCTCCCTTCGCTGATTTCGTCTTCCTACCACATTCAATACTCTTGCATCACAGATTAGCTCATGTGCTATTAACGTTAGCATTTAGTACAAACACCAATGATTCTGAAACAGTGCGGACAATTTCCAAAAACTTGTTCGAAGGCACAAAGGGAATTTAGTGCATGCGCGGCACAATGCTAGCGACTAATTCCAGAAAATGCCTCGCCACCATATTACCCTGAGGCTCTGAAAATGTCGCTCACTGGCGCTAAAGTGTGAGTTGCAGCAGGAACATTTTTCCGTTGTGAAAGAAATGCCTCCTCCCTACATCAAAATGTACAGCCTGACAGTCTCGCTACGCAAACGACTGTAGTGATTTGAGATGACATGGAGAGGCCTGTTACACCATTACATCATTCTGTGGTGTAATGGTAACACACCTGACCGGCAAGCAGGACCCCCCCCCCCCGGGCTTTCGACACCTGAGTGCTGCGTTCCTTGCATCAAATTGCTCAGCAGGCTGCACGGCTCTCTTATTCCGGAGCTCAGCATTCAGTGTCTCTTGCTGTTCAGCGGTCTCAGCGGCCCTACGCACATCTGCTTGCTGTTCACCACTGATTCTAGCCATTACGGCTAGCACCGATTTAGGCACTTTGCACCGCAACTGCAGTGGCAAACGTTGTTTCCGCGCCGGCACCAACCGTTTTTCACCAGCAACAACTGTTCATCGCTGTCATGTGTCACCTTTCTTCTTCGCGTTCAACCTCACCATTTTGGCCTCACCACCATTTTGATGGGAAATACACTTGGTTTGCGCGACATATGAAGCAGATCCTTTTTAGACTATTATTTTGACTTCATCAATATGAGAACTCAAATAAATCGGCCATGACATGAAACGCAAACAGAAAATGGAAGCGATTTCGTGAACCACCACATCTGACCTAACGGGAAGAAAAACCACCTCAGCAAAGAACATATTCAAATGAAGAACTTGCAGTCGATCAGTGAAAACTTGACACGCATTCAGTTAGTATCACCCTTTGCTTGTCACTGCTAAGTATGAAGCCTATGAAAATAATAGGATGAGCCAAAGCCTATGGTTCACACTGATATAGCCCGATGGACCTGGCGCTTTGAGGGGTGGATGGCCTAAAATGATATATTCTCTAAATTGATATATATAACCGCGTTGCGGTTATAGGCACCACCACAACTTCTTCCCAGCACATTCAATACTCTTGCATCATCGATTAACTCATGGGTTATTAGCATTAGCTTATGGTACAGGTACCAATGATTCTGAAACAGTAAGGGCCACTTCCAATAACTTGTTCGACTTTAGCACAGAGGAAATTTAGCGCATGTGCAGCAGAATACTAACGAATGATTCCTGTTAGATAGTCAAGCCTATGGCCTAGAATAGCATAGCTTCAAGGACCTGGCAAGTTTATGATGGCTTGGAAAAGCGCAGCCTTGTAGGCCTGGTGCTTTAGGCCTTGGATGGCCTGACCTATGACCCAGAATGGCATTGCATGGTAGGCCCGCACGTGAGGTGACAGTCACGACCACGACCACCACCACCACTACTTTTGACCTCTTCGAATTAAAGTATTTGATACTCCCGATTCGAAGGGCGTCGTCCAGGCCAAAGGGGAAGAGGGGAGTCAGTCTGGCGCCTTCCCACGGGGACCCAAGGACCCTTCAGCTAGCCTCAACACCTACGCGGGAGGGCCAAAAGGGAGGGGCATGGAGGGCGTCGTCTGCTACGCCGGAATCCGTTTCGGGCTGAAACTCCTTCCCGTTCGATGTTACGTGCGAATAGGCAAATGATACTACTGTGAAATCGCTCCTCGGACATTCCCGATTTGAATGCGAACCGAGATCTCGGGAGAATCGCTTTGGGTCGAGGCGGGAGAAGGCGAAAGTTCACCGCGATCCTCAGACCTTCATGACATGGGTCCCTTTAAATCCTCAAGGGATCAAAAAGGAACTCACGGCGGATCGCGAAACTCGAGGAGACAACTCTCAGGAACTGGGTCGAAACTTTAGTTGTCGTGTGTCCCCTTCGAATCCTCGATGGTTCCCAATAAAAAAAAGCGCCAGAAGCTGGAAACGGAAACTTACGAGTTTATTTACTTTCCCGAGTAGAGCAAAGCGACAATTTTATGGAACTTTCACAAATATGGAGCAAGAGGAAACGCATAAAACTGGCATTTCCGATTCAGTAATTTTTGCGCGAGTTTGTGCTAAGTTTCGCGGAAATTGCTCTTTGCGTTACCACGTCCGTCGTAACGGATGTTTGAAGCCGGCCTCGCCTTGCTCTTGAAGCGCTATTTAAAACGAAGAGAATAATTTCCTTGGCTAAAATTCATCCGATTTTAGCCATGAAACTTACTTTTCTACGTCCCAGAAAGCTTTCTGGTTTTGTTTTTCTCACCCTGCGCATCCAAAAATATTGGAGAATCATTTCTGATATTTGCAAATATCACTGAAGACATCGTCACCCTTACTCGTTAGCAAATAATGCATTTAGAAAAGGGTAAATTTATCGAGTTCCTCACTCCATCCGCGATCATCGAGGCTCACGGTGATTGCTCACGGTGATTGCTCACGGCAATCTTCCGATTTTCGCCTCTCCGATTCGAGGAATCGAAAAATGTTTGAGCGGAAGACAGGCACCCTGACCAAGGCGGAGAGCTGCGCGTGCGAATGGAGGGCATGCTGTCTGGTTTCCTGGGAATACTGCAGACGGAAGTAATGAAAAAACAAGTTAACCGACCGATCACAATATCTGAATTTTTTTTCCCATAGCACCTGTGGAAGTGGCAGATAAAAAGGAGATGATTGCGAGTCTCCCGAGTCAGCGTGACTTGTAGAGGCAGCTTCCATCGATGCTCCCTTTCGGAGGAAGAAGGGGAGGCGAAAATCACGATGATGTTTTAAGGGGTGTCTCGAGCGGTGCTGGGGTCGCATTCGTTTTCCTTAGTTTCAGCTGCTTCTTGCGTTTTCGCATATTTAATTTTTTTTCATCGACTTCCACCAATTTGAATTTCTTTACCCGATTTTTTTTCCAGTCGTTTTCGCTGATTTTCTATCAAGAAGAAGCGAAACCATCTCCGCCCGCCGCCGCAACGACAGCGACACCTCCCAGAGCGACAGCGAGTCCACGATGCTCGAGGCTGCGACGGGCCCACTCGTCCAGGACTTCCTCGTCGCGACCCTGCTCTTCCTCCGGGATCTCACGTATCTACACAGTGAGGAGACGCCAGGCAATTTCGCAAAACCAATTTTTGCACAATTTGTTGAGTTTTGGCAATTCAATTCAATATCCTTCCGATGCCGAGGCACAAATTTTCCTGCTTTTTTTTTCTTGGATTACCACTTAGGAATATTGATGCCCTTACGAAAATGTCTTGTAGGATTCCTATATTAAGTATATCTTTAGGAATATATAGGAATCCTATAAGAATCCTATAGGTTCCTATATGCCCCATAGAGTTCAGTTTAGGACCTATAGAGTTCCCTATAGAACCTATAGAGCCCCCTATAGAACCGATAGGGTTCCCTATAGAACAAATAGGGTTCCCCATAAGGCCTATAGGTTCTCTATAGGACCCAAAGGGTTCTGTATAGGACTTGTAGGGTTCCCCATAAAACCTGTAGGGTTCACTATAGGGCCTATAGGGTTATCTATAGTGCCTATACGTAACCCTATAGGACCTATAGGACGTATATGGTTACCTATAGGGCTTATACAGAACCCTATTGGCCTATAGAGTTCCGTTTGAAGTTCTCCTCTAGGCCACTACATGGACGTATTGGTTTCTCGCATTTCTCAATGGGCACAAAAGTGCCCTCCTCTTACACAAGGAATCATCTCTCACAAGAGAGTTTTGTAGATCCCCAAATGTCTCGCCTTGCCTCATTGTAGCAATCAATAAACTTCGACAGTTCCTTATTTGTCATCCCCATCTTCCAGATATAATCATGGAGTCCCGTGAAGAAATATGACCTTATTCCTTTTGAAAACCACGTACGAAACGGTCTAGATTTTATCTAAACGGAGTTGCAGTAAAGAGACGTACGCGCAGGTTCTGCCTCCAATTTCCCTAGGTCGAGGGAAGAACATTGCTTCTCTCTACCGAAGGAAGTAGATGTGGAATCCAGCGACAGATGTGGGGCGGGCCAATAAATTATGCAGGCCCCCGCAGTACTTGTATATACTAGTATAATGCATGCCTTCCTACCATGGAAGAACCCCTAATCAGTTTTTGATTTGCACCGAATTGGCAATATTTACCCGAGTCGCCTTTTCCGTCGTAATGCCTGGGTTTCGAAACCCAAAATATCCTGCCTGAATCCTATAGGTCAGGAGTTCTATGAGACCCTATAGGGATCCTATAGGATCCTAAAGGATCCTATAGGTTTTTCGTGTTTCAATAACCTATAGGAAAGTCTATAGGTTTCCTATTAGAAATCACTAGAGGTTTCCTATAGGACATTTCCGTAAGGGTGGCTATCCTGGACCAATGTTACTGCCGTGCAATCATGAATTGCATATATTTCAACAGCTTTTGACAGATTTAAATTTCTTTTTCTTTATTATTTCCAACATATTTTTGCAAGAAAATGGAAATAAAATAGTGGAGCAGATATTGATTCTAAGATAGAATTTGTGAACCACAGTAACCATGCTCGTCACTCATATTTTCTTTTTTTTTATCTACTCCATGAATATACTTTCCGAATTCGATGGAAAATAGTTCATTTTTCCTCACTATGTCACACTTTTTCACCACTGCTAAATTTTTCCCCCTTACGGAAATGTACTATAGGAAACTAATAGATATTTCTTATAGGAAATATATACTTAGAAAGACTTTGGACTTTCCTACAGGTTTTTGAAACACGAAAAACCTCTAGGATCCTTTAGGATCCTATAGGATCCCTATAGGGTCTTATAGATTTCCTGACCTATAGGATTCAGGGAGGATATCTTGGGTTTCGAAACCCAGGCATTACGAAGGAAAAGGCGACAGGGGTTAATAATGGCGCAGCATTTCGCAAATCAAAAACCGATTAGGGGTTCTTCCATGGTAGAGACACTCGCATTATTAATACCAGTAATGCGGGAGTCTGCATAATTTATGGCCCTGCCACATATGTGTCGCTGGATTGCATGTCTACTTCCTTCGGTAGAAAGAAGGTGCATTCCTCTCTCGACCTCATATACTGTACAATATAAGAAAAAACCTGCGAGCACGTCTCTTTTCTGAAATTCATTTTGGATAGAGTTTACTCTGTTTCGTACGTGGTTTTCGAAAGAAATAAGGGCATATTTCTTCACGGGACTCCATGATTATATCTGGAAAATGGGGATGACAAATAAGGAACAGTCGAAGTTTATTGATTGCTACAATGAGGCAAGGCGAGACATTTGGGGACGTACTGTACAAAACTCTCTTGTGAGAGATGATTCCTTTGGTAAGGGGAGGGCACTTTTGTGCACTTTGAGAAATGTGAGAACACAGTACTTCCATCTAGTGGCCTATAGGAGAACTTCAAACGGAACCCTATAGGCCTATAGGATTCCGTATAAGACCTATAGGGAACCCTATAGATTCTATAGGGAACCCTATAGGTTCTATAGGGAACTCTATTGGTCCCAAACTGAACTCTATAGGGGGATCTATTGGTTCTATCGGGAACTCTATTGGTCCCAAACTGAACTCTATAGGGCATATAGGATTCTATAGGATTCTCATAGGATTCCTATATATTCCTAAAGGAATATATAGGAATATATAGCACTAAACTGCTCGTGCGTTTTCTAATTAATTTGTACGAATGAAAAATCTGCCTTTGGCGCTAAGAGGAAAGAGTTAAAGCTTAAGAGTTGGCTGATTATGCTGATTTACTATGACCGTGTTAATTCTTTTTTGCAGGTGGAATCACGTACCTTCCCAACGGGAATGAATACGGTCTGGTAAGAAATTTTCCCGGCAAAACTGAAGAACTTACAGTAGAATAAATTGCACCCATCTGCATGAAATGGCAGCGCGAATCATTTCCATGAGTGGAACATATAGGATTGCAATTTCTGACCGGAGATGGCAAAGAGTTTTAACCTTGACCTTGACCTTGGCAGCCAGAGGAGGCGAGGCGGGAATACCTGCGAGAGGGGGAAAAGGCGCTGGAGGCGTTCCGGTCGCATCTGAACTCCATGGACTCGTGGACGCTGGAGGCGGAATACCCCGAGGACGAGATCGCCGTCCGGTCCCAGTTCCAGCCGCATCTCGGCATCTACTTCATCTACACTGAGGTGGGTGGACGATTGCGGAATCGAGGTGATTTTCCTCCTCGTCTGGAGATCCGTGTTTGATGCAGTGGTGTCATCAACGATTCGGGGTGCGTGTGTTTTGGTGGTACTGGCTGTTTCGTTGGCTACCGCTTTAATTATATTTGAAGGCGAATGTATCTATATTCATTGCTGTCATTGACGAAATATATGGAAAGTAGAGATAGGCCGACTTCTTTCAACTTTTCTCCGTTTTATGCAAATTATTCTTTTTTTTCACAGCATCCTTTCCTTACCCTACTTGGCTTCTGTACCTCCCTGAAACAAATTGTACTCCTCGAATTTAATGAATGCTATAGTATAACATAGACATTGGACTCCTGAAGAGGAAAATTCAGTTCATGCTTACATCAATGTAGGCGCTGCTCAACTACAACTTCGAATGGGCATTTTGGAACACCTTGCCACCCCCAGGGCAGAATCTCGAGTGGTACAAGGACATCAGCCAGAACGAATTCATTCAGGTGCGTTCAACCTCTAATTCCGTCATATTTTATTGGTTTTTTGTACCATGAGAAAATGAAGGTTACAAAAATTAAACTGACGAATTTGCTTTTCATGGAAATGGTATTTTTAAATTTCATTAATATTTTCATGACCCCAGTGCACTTCTGAAATTAATGTGCCATAAATTGGAATGATGCTCTTCGAAATTATATCTGGAAAACATCCGCTAAAAAAGGAATTTCAGTCCCAAATATATTCAATAAAGACTAGAAAATGCGATATTCATATGCCTGGACCATGATAATCTGAATGCAGTAAACATTTGCTCAAAAAACGAGGTATATCCCATAACAACAGGAATTTGCTATCTAATATATATATATATATGTATAGAAATCAGGGTGCCGAGAGCGATGTTACAAATGTATCCAGATGGACAGGATACCAGGATCAAAAACAGAGAATGGTTGGGACTCGAACCCGTGACACAAGCGCCTAGCGGATTGCGAGTCCAACACTGAAACCACTAGACTACCTCCCCTGCCCAAAAAAGCAGGTTCGGAAAGTCTGTATTTCAATGTGAGCTCGCAATCCACACGGTTCCTTCCCGTCCCAAGATCTACAATGGGACCGAAGTGTTGGACTCGCAATCCGCTAGGCGCTTGTGTCACGGGTTCGAGTCCCAACCATTCTCTGCCTTTGATCCTGGTATCCTGTCCATCTGGATATATTTGTAACATCTCTCTCGGCACCCTGATTTCTGAATTTACGCCGTGGGTCGTCTACCCATGCCCCTTCCCTTGTATATATATATATATATATATAGATATATATCTGGTAAGGTAAGGTAAAAAGGTTGGCTTAATTAGCGAATACCCAAATGGGCGGTGAAAACCGCTCTCATTTGAGGCGTGCATATAGATTGAATTAAGGTAAAACAGTGACCCCTTCCCTAGCAATACCCACCCAAAAAATTCCCCATAGGGAATTTTTTCGAGGTGTGATGTTTTGAAAGAAAAGTTGTCGCGGCGAATTGGGTAGAAATAGAAAGGTGAAACTTGGCACACGTATTAGTGACGATATTACTGAGCTGAGGGAGTATTCAGATTTCGTGGGGCATCCTCTCCGGGCATGGCATTTCTGCGGGTCTGCTTTTCCAAGCATGTTTTTTCACCAGCGAAATGGGCAAACGTATAATATTGAAACTTAATGGGCATGTAGTTCACCGGGCAGACATAGAAAAGTAGCTGGCGCACGCATCACTGACGTGATGTTGATTTAAGGAAAAATTGAACTTTTTATACGTCTCCTCAGAACGCAGCTTTTGCTTTGGTCGCTTTTCCAAATACATTTTTTCCACAAGCAAAAAGAGGAAACGTATCAAGCTGAAACCGTATGGCATGGAGCTCCCTGAGTCTACATTTCAAAAGAAATACAATTTTCGTTAAAAACCCATCAGGTCCCTTTTTTTCAGTCCCTTTTTCCTGAATTTTTTTTGATCAAACGAAACAGAGACATAAAATTTAAACTTACCTCAAAAGTACCTATTTGATGGATGCGTATAGAAAAAATCCTACTTTTGTAATATGTTCCAATAGCATAGATTATAAGAGGAGAGGATTTCAAAATGTATTCTACACCCTTACAAAAAGGGACACATGAAAAGATTTCAAGTTAGGCACTCTAGAAATAATAGAAGTAATGGTTTTGATAAAAATCAAGACTTTTGTCCCCATCTGTCACGTATTTCAATTGGGACGTACTTTACATACGTCCTTGCCATTTCGCAAAGAATAAATGAATTATTCACTATCCAAGGTAATAGAGCGCCGAAGGCGCGACCATAGTGAGTTTGTTTGCCCGAAGGGCAAACAAACTCGCTAGTAGAACATATAGATCCCCCTATAGATCCTATGGAGTTTCCTATAGAACCTATAGATCCCCCTATAGGATTCTCTATACGACCTATTAGGTTCCCTATTGGGCCTATAGGGTTCCGTATAGTGGCTATACGGAACCCTATAGGACCTATAGGACCTATAGGGTTCCCTATAGGTATTATACAGAATCCTATAGGCCTATAGGGTTCGGTTTGAAGTTCTCCTCTAGGCCACTAGATGGAAGAATTGGGTTCTCACATTTTCCCGGCAAAACTGAAGAACTTACAGTAGAATAAATTGCACCCATCTGCATGAAATGGCAGCGCGAATCATTTCCATGAGTGGAACATATAAGTCATCCCCATCTTCCAGATAGAATCATGGAGTCCCGTGAAGAAATATGCCCTTATTCCTTTTGAAAACCACTTACGAAACTAAGTAGACACTATCCAAAAGGAGTTTCAGTAAAGAGACGTGCTCGCAGGTTCTGTCGTCCATTTCTTTAGGTCGAGGTAGGAATACTACTTCTTCCTACCGAAGGAAGTAGACATGCAATCCAGCGACACATGTGCGACATGGCCATTAACTAGGCAGACCCCCGCATTACTGGTATTAATAATGCATGTGTCCCTACCATGGAGAAACCCCTAATCGGTTTTTGATTTACACCAAAAAGCTGCGCCATTATTAACTCCCGGTCGCCTTTTCCGTCGTAATGCATGGGTTTCGAAACCAAAATATCTTCCCTGAATCCTATAGGTCAGGAGTCCTTTAAGACCCTATAGGGCTCCTATAGGATCCGAAAGGATCCTATAGCTTTTTCGTATTTCAAAAACCTATAGGAAAGTCTATAGGTTTCCTATAAGATATATCTATAGGTTTCCTATAGGACATTTCCGTAAGGGTTTGCTTTTAATGGAAATGGTATTTTGAAATGTCAATAATCTTTTCATGACCCCAGTGCACTTCTGAGATTAATGTGCCATAAATTGGAATGATGCTCTTCGGAATTATCTCTGGAAAACATCCGCTAAAAAAGGTATTTCAGTCCCAAATGTATTCATGAAAGACTATTAAATGCGATATTTATATGCCTGGAACATGGTAATCTGAATGCAGTAAACGTTTGCTCAAAATACGAGGCATATCCCATAACAACATAAATTTAGTATACATTATATGCATGCAAAATGGTGAGATAATTCATTACATTCTTTCCGCCCGGTTCTTCTCATTCAAATGACATGGGTCGGGTTTTTTTGTAGTCGATTTCCGAGGAATGTCTGATCATACGCGAGACGACGAAGCCGATGTTCGGCGGGCTGATTGGCGCGAGGGATTTCATCTCTCTTGGCTGTCATAGGAAGATCGGGGACACCATCTACTGGGCCTTCAGGAACGTCACCTGGCCCAGCCTACCGCCGAGAGAAGGGATCGTCAGGTCTTCGTCTCTCTGAATTACCTTGAAATTAATTTTACTCCTATTGCATCGATTTTTTTTCATATTTTAGGAGCGTGGAACACTTGGGTAGCGGTCAAGCGTTTTCTCGACACAAGGAAAACAAGGATAAATGCATTTTTCGCTGGGTGAACGGGATGGACTTCCGAGTCCCATTCGTGCCGATTGGGATCATCAAGGCCTTCGCTCTCACTAATCACAAGAACTTCGTCCTCGCCTTGAGAAATCACCTGGAAGCGGCGGCGGCGGCTTCTACCTGCAGTACCATCGAACCGTCTGGTTGTTGAATCGTCTCGGGGAGCTGGTGTCCTTAAGGGTCGACCTTGTTCATGGAAGGGTTTCTTATGCTGGTTCGTGGACGATGGCATGGCATGAAGCGAAGCCCAACGTGAAGCCTAAAGTGTATCTAGCATCTCATTTTGCAAATATGTTTGAAGATAATCGCTTGCATTTGTCAACCACAAGCTGAGACTGACGTCAGGGGTAGAAGCCCTGAAATAATATGGGACCTCACCCTATCTTAGGTCTCTGCTAGACGTAATGTACGTTTAGGTTCATTTTGAAGGATTTTAGTAGAATTCACTGACCCGTATCAATCTCCATTCATTAGGACAATAATACATTTCAGAAATTAAATTCCTGGCTTTTGCTATTTTTGAGGCACTAGAAATATTGGAATATTTTGAGGCGTGAAGGAAAAACAGCTGGGAATGAGAAGTGGCGCTTCAATTCAGAATTTTTATATATTTTAGTACATCGTTGTGTCTGCAGCTCTCTTAAGACTCTCGGTGAAACAATAGGAGGCAGGAATTGTTGAGGATTCGCTGCAGCTTTGTCCATTGTCAAGAAATCAAAGATTTGACTTTGCTCATTCTCGCGAATGCGGACGCCGAGTCAGTGCGAAAATCGCCTCGTTTGTGGTATAGGAAGAAATAAACTGCGTTTTACTGCAGGGCCAGCTTGCCAGTTCACCAGTTAACCGCGCGGTTTACCGTCCGGTTTTTCATTCGTTTCCCCGGGTAATCGAGATAAGCTGCTTGGTTCCCCTGAAGCTGAAGCGAAAACTTTTGACAATTTTGGAGAAGCACTCATTTACGTCTGACTCGGTTTCAAATAGTTTTCATTTCATTGCACGACATCTTGTCATTCTATCATTATTCCGGCATTCATGAACACCGATTTCCAAAATGGAAAATCATTATTTGCTTGGTCCTCGACGAAATATATACAGATTTAGTCGATGTTTCCACGAATAGCTTGTATTATTTTTTTGGGAGCTGGATTCGTGTACCTGAGATAGGGACCTGCAGGAATATAGGGTGATAAAATAAGCCTGAAAAACTAGATGAATCTCAGCCAACGGATACGCCTACGCCCTCTCGAGAGTGAAATGGAGGAAATCGCATGGGAACAGAATGGTATGTGCTTGTGCCTAAGACGACATTTTTTAAGCACTTGTGAGGATCCCTGTCAATTTTCTTGCTCGCGTCTCTGCGGGAATGCATATTCTCATATTTCGTATTCACTGTAATACTCTTGAAAAGCTGCTGACGGCATGGGGTCTTGTCAAGATTTTCTTCTTATGTTCTCATACACCATGACGGGGTGCGTATCTAGCAGAATTTCCAATATCAGGTCGATATGCAATGATTTGAGTCATGTTTGACCGCTGCACTCCTAAAATCACACGGTTCACGAATAAAGTATGGACCGTGATTCGTGTTACACTGCGATTCTTGGAAATATTAAATCGATTGCGTGCCCTTGCATTCTATACGTGGAGATCGCGTCGTGCAACTGTATGCTTCTGACGATTCCTCCAAATTAAAAAAAAGTGAATGCGTTTCAGCATTTATTGAGCATTGTGCGAATCATATTTAACTTTTTTTTATTTCTTGCACTTCTTGGCCAATATAGAGAATACTTTCTTCGAACCGACGGCATCGCTTTCATCATGAACTCTTGTGAGAAATTGAATAAATACAAAATCCTCTGAAAGTGGCTTTTGATTCACATGTTCGTGTTTCTCCATTAATAAAGTGCAAAATTCATTGAGCCTACGTAACTATTCTTAGAAATAGTTTTAGGGCTGTTGATGCATGAAAAATTTAATCGATTAATATTAAGCCACTTTGTTGATTAATCGGTCGATTGATCGAATTTTAATCGATCCTGTCGTTCTTCCTAGAATCACGTTCAACGCATGATTCTGAATGCGTATTGCCCAGGGGAACCTCAAGAATGGACTCAAGGCGATGCAGTCGATAAGATAGCAGTTACTATACATACTCAAGACTGAAGGGGACTGACTCCAGAAGCTCCCTTATTTAAAAAAAAATTAAGGTTGTTTTCATCACGGTTATTTTCCTCCATTTCATCACTCGTGCCGTCCTGTTTCTACGTGGTGTCCCATAATTCAAGCATAATAGGGAAATTTCTGTTTTACGCTGATGGGTATAACATATGTTCAATGTGTTCACCGTTATTCTCGATGCATTTTCACATCTTGCTGGAACATTCCTCAATTTTGCCTTATTGGCCTGATTGTCGTGATTGAACCACTCAGCAGCCACTCTCTGACTATGTCACACATACAGACCATATTCACACATTTGTCACATAGTGAAATCTTCCACAATTAGTTCGATTCTCAAAACCTAGAAGAAGAAAAAACAAACAAAACAAAAATAAATAAAAACCTGTGTTTCTCACTACAATGCTTGACTAATGTGACTCTCTCAACGCAATCGCACCAACATGAAGCAATGCAGAGGCAAGGTCGACGAGGGCAGCTCCCCCAGCTTCATTCACCGAAGTTGTCACATCGCTGCACGCACGCGGTGGAGTCCGCGTTGAAAGGGGACAATGAATATCCTATTAGAATAAAAATAAACTTTTAGGAGCAGCGAAAACTCGGCTGGAGGGGGTGGACATTCATTCATCACAATTGAGCATTTGGCAGCTTCTCTGCTCGAAAAAAGTACAAGTTCTGATTTCCCAATTGACGAAATACTAATTGACATCGAAAGTGTCCATGAAATCATAGTAAAATATTCAAACAAAAAGGTCCTTTCCGAATTTCATATTCGGTTCTGTCAAACGCAGGTGCCGGCTCCTGCGACATTTCACGATCGACACATATCCCCCATTGCCTTGGTGTCGTGCTACGACCTGAGTAAAAATTTCCAAGAAAAGCACGTACTTCAAGGACTTCTATTATCTTGATTTTCTTTAATCCATATAGAAATACAAAGCGTGATCATTCTTCCTTGCGTGCCATACAACCCGTTTATTCCTAATAGGCTGGAATATTAGAATTCATTCACTGTGCGGGAGGCTAACTTTCGTTTTGTATGACAATGATATTGCCTTTGGTTTTTGTGTGACACGAATGGAATTAGGATGGAGGCACGTGAAGGAAGCGGAATTTCATCTTCGGCGGGAACCGGACATTGGAACACGACATTGGCACGTTGGGTCACCTTGGGAGACTTCAAGGTCCCGTTCGTCCCGTCCTCCATTCTCCTCAACGTCTACGTGGAAGAATGCCGGCAGTACGTCCTCAGCTTCCTGAGATACCTGTTGGCCAGGCGCCAACTGCATCGCAAGGTATTGGTGGATCCATCATCCTAATTTGAATGGGACAAACTTCATTTCTTCCCATTTTCTTCCTGAAGTGTTAGAGCTTTCTTCATATACTAGAGAGTTATGAATTTCATAACTTTCAAACTACGCCAGCTGGAAGTGCGTGTCATTATGAAAGGTGTGAGATATGTAATCATTTAATTTTTCTGCCAAAGTGTAAAATGATACGCATATAATAAAACTAAGCCAGAGATTGTCCATTAATACGGCAACATTGGTTTTGTTATGTTGACTACATCAATAGATAAAGGAGTCTTGAAATGGTAAAAATTAAGTAAATTGAAAAAAGGCATAATTCTGGCTTCACAAATCCCATATTTTCGCTGTAATAGTTATACAGGTTAATTGAAAAGTCGGTTGCCCATTAATTAGAATATATAACTCCGCAATAAATACGCCAATCGGCATGATATGCTGAAGGTAATTAGAGTCATTCGAGGTCGATAGATGGCGCTATTAACCATTGGCGTACATCAATAAACCGAAATTTTACACAGCGATTTCTTTTTCTTTACATTTGTCATCATGGCGTTAATACTGGACGCGTTGTTTCATCATTGAGCGTTATTTTAAAAAGTTATCCCCTGCAGACGTGAAGAAGGATACTGAAAAACGTTTTTAGCACGAAACAGTCGCCATGTATAGTGGATATTTGGAAGTAGGTGAATACATTTTTATGAACGGGAAGCATTAGAGATCAGGGACGTCGCGGGGGCCTATTGTTTCGGAAGACGCGATTGAGAACGTTAAGAAACGCTTGGAAAAGCAGGAGGAATCCGTGTTCGGAGATTGAGACATTTCGAAGGGACTTTGGCCACCACGACCTCAGGGCCAAACACCACCCGATTTCTTCCTGTTGGGCTATTGGAAGGAACGCTTGCTTTTAATTGATCCTCCCTCATTGCAGGAACTAATGGACAGGATCGCCGAGGCGATGAACGACATTCCAGAAGACTTGCTGCAGCGCGTTGCCTACAATATCAGTCGTCATGGTCATCTAGGCTCATCCGAGGATGGAGGCCACTTCCAGCACCTGCTGTGAGGGGTTGTGTACTCCAATGACTAAGGTTTTTAGGAACAAAATTTCATGTCGATTGGCGTATTTATAGCGGAGTTATACGGAAATTAATGAGTTAATCGACCTTACGATCACCCTATACATTCTACCTCAGGCCTTTAATATGAGACATTACACGCATTTCTACTAAGCGTAGTTTTGGAGTTATGAAATTCGCACGAGGGGTCGCAGGTGTCTGAAAGATGAGATGTTCGAAATTCATATATCATGTACCAATATGAAGATAATTTCGTAATATTGGATTTTCATGGAAGACCTGTTAGATTAAAATTTTCCTACCACTTTATGTGACCATCGAGAGTCAGCTTCAACTTGTGGAATATATACATATGTTTTTGGCCTGGGCTCCATGAATCTGTCTCGATTATGGGGATAGTAAATAACGAAGTGTCCGTGTTCATTGATTTCAACGATGGGACTAGATGAGACATATGGCAAGGTACTAAACACGCCTGTGAGGGACGTTTCCAGTGAAATGGGAGATGGGCACCACTGTGTACCGTTCTAGAAGCCAGAACTACGCCTCCATCTAGTGAACTGGAAAGGCAACTTTACAATTCTTTAAACAGCTAAGTGCATTTTGTATCAGGATGTTGTCGCTACGTAGTCCATGTCAATAGTAACATTCTCTCAATAAAGATTGATGGCAAATATTGAAATAACATGCGTAGAATGTCTCAGGAACATTCTAAACGCTTAAATATGAAATGTGTTGAAACAATGTTTTATCAATGCTATTCATCAACTTGCAACACACAGCAAGATTGGTAACATTTTGGAAACGTTCCATCAACATACTCTGTAACTTGGCGTAAGACTGTATATCAGGCAAACATAAAAGACATACACACTTACACACACGCATATACCTAGGCATATACCCACCACAAACTTAAGGGCTCATTCGGCAGAATGGATATCGCCACATCCACATCCGTGGATCCTGCTATTCTTCGTGGGCGGCACTGTGACCCCAGGGCAAGGATCAAGAGAGGAGACGGTCGAGTAAGGGAGCATTTATGATCAAATGGAAATTGAAGAGGCAACTTTCTTCATTCTTCCGAGTACGTATGGAGGACGGTGCTCTCTCACACATGAAATTAGGTGATCCTAAGTTAAAGTAATATGGAAGTAGTGGTAAAAATTACGCTTGTCGTGCTAATGCACTCTAGGCCATGCTTCTAAGAGTTCATTAAATTATGTTTTGTTACCAAATCAAATTCCTTGGATGAATAAAAGTTATTGTATCAGCACATTCAATGTTAAATTTGACTCAATTTCCTAATTACGGCATTGGAGATTTGGAAAATGTTTCCCGGAAACGCAATTGCCCATGAAATCAAGGGTGTCGGATAGCACGAAGAGCGAGTGCCATGCGGCTTTGAAATGATCATGTTAAAAGATAATGTAAAGAGTACAGCATGATATGTTCATGGCAAAATCCCCGGATGCTAGTTGTAGGTTTAAGGAATACCACTCAACACTGTTAGCGGTGCACGTTACCACGATAGGTAAGTGATCGCTACCGAAGTCTGGCCCTACTTGGAATTTCTCAAACAGAGGGAGGAATTGGGGGTTGCACAGAGCAAGGTCGATTCTGTGTGGCGCTCCTAGTCCTGGTGGGAAGTGGGTGGGCTCGGGAGAGTTGAGTAGGGTAAACTGGCTGTGCAAAATAACGGAGAAGAGAGTTTCTCCATTCTGATTGGGAAGGGCCCCTGTAAGTGAGGGGTGATGAGCGTTAAGATCTCCTTGATGAGGGTTGGGCTGCCGGGAAACAAAAGATCAAGATCATCCTGAGATAGGGGCTTGCTGGGAGGCATAGACGTGATAAATGTGGAGCGTTTGTTGAGGAGTTTCGACTTTCACACCTATAATCTCGGAAGAGGCTGTCGAGTTGGAAAGGAGGAGAGAAGAATGTAATGAGGCTTGTATGTAGACTACTGAGCAATGGTGCCCTTCATTACTACATAATTTTACCATATGAGAGTAGAAGTTCTTAATTTTTGGGGCAGTCGGTGTCCTAAGCTCGCTGAGACAGATAATGCTTGGTTTTATGGTATCAATTAAATGAAGTAATTCAGCACGTTTGGGGCGAAAGCCGTTAACATACATCACAATCATCGGAAGGTTCACCATTAAGATACAACGTAAGTCGAATGTTTCTTGTACGTGGCTTCCCTTACGAAAATGTCTAGGAATCCAATTGGAACCTTAAGGAATCCAATAGGATCCTATATGCCCCATAGAGTTCAGTTTGGGACATATAGAGTTCCCTATAGAACCTATAGAGTTCCCTATAGAACCTATAGATCCCCCTAT